ACATCAGGGTCTCTGCTCAGCATGGAGCCTGCTTCCTCCTCTCTGCCTGCTTCTCTGCCTACTTGTGACCTCCGTCTGTCAAATAAATAAATAAAATATTAAAAAAAAAAAAACCTTGAACAAAAATAAAAACAAAGGCAAAATACTCTTTCAGACTAAAGGTGAAAGAATTAATCACTAGCAGGTCTATTACACGAGAAATTTTAAAGGAAGTCAAGTCTTTTAAGGCTGACAGGAATACACTAGAGACCAAAAAACAGGTCTGCAACTTGTTACTTAACTGCCGTAAGCTATGGATTGTATGTTTTTTTTTTTCTTCCAAGATTTTATCTATTTATTTGGCAGAGAAAGAGATCACAAGTAGGCAGAGAGGCAGGCAGAGAGAGGGAGAAGCAGGCTTCCCACCGAGCAGAGACCCCGATGCACGGCTCGATCCCAGGATTCTGAGATCATGACCTGAGCTGAAAGCAGAAGCTTAACCCACTGAGCCACCCAGGCGCCACTGGACTGTATGTTTTTTAAAAAGATTTTATTTATTTGAGAGAGAGCATGCTCACGAATAGGGATGAGGGGCAGAGGAAAAGGGAGAAACAGGCACCACTGAGCAGGGGGCCCTACGGATGGGCTTGATCCCAGTACCCTGAGATTATGACCTGAGCAACTCAACCAACTGAGCCACCCAGGTGCCCTGGATTGTGCTTTTTTTTTTTTTTCCCCCCCAGGGCTCCCATATAGATGATTATTAAAGCTGGTATTGGGTGCATGATGGTGTTCATACTATTGTCTCTATTTTTTTTTTCTATTAATATTTGAGATTTTCCATCATAGAATTTTTTTTTAATTTACATTACCCGACAGTATATTATCTACAATAAGTGAATCTAATTCAGTTTCATGTGAGGCTGTGTTTAGATGACAGGAATCCTGTACTAACTGATCTTGTAACATATGTCCGACAAAGTGTTACACAGTTCTTATCAAACTGGATTTTGAAATCTCTACAGACTACAATAATAAGTATTGCTTCTAAGTGTTCCATAATAGTTTAAAAAGAAGAAACGAAAAAGTTACTGTGCTGTCACTCTGCATAGGTTTTAATTAATTAGCTGGGACTTAAAAGTATACACATATATTCAAACATGCTGGAAGAAAATATGTGCATTGTTTTCCCTTCTGTCTTGCAGTATGCTTTAAAGATGATGTGTTTTGTTTTTTTTTTTAAGATATTTGTTATTTATTTGACAGAAAGAGAGAGGTCACAAGTAGGTAGAGAGGCAGGCAGAGAGAGAGAGGAGGAAGCAGCCTCCCTGCTGAGCAGAGAGCCAGATGCAGAGCTCAGATCCCAGGAGTCTGGGTTCATGACCTGAGCCGAACGAAGGCAGAGGCTTAACCCACTGAGCCATCCGGGTGCCCCTGATAATAAGGTTTTATCAGTAACAATGGTGGACTGACTAAGAAATTAGATTGGGGACCTGAATGCATTTCCCTCCTTTATCAATAATCTTAGCTTGTTTCCAAGTAGCTTTTTAATTTTGTATATCTTATGCTCTTATTTTTAAAATACCAATAATTTTTCTAAACGAGTATGAGTTCTTTTTTTTTTTTTAAGGTTTTATTTATTTTTTGGCAGAGACAGTGAGCAAACACAAGCAGGGGGAGTGGGAGAGAGAGAAGCAGGCTTCCTGCTAGCAGGGAGCTCGATGCAGGGCTCGATCCCAGGACCCTGAGATATGACCTGAGCTGAAGGCAGACATTTAATGACTGAGTCACCCAGGCACCCTAAAATACCAATGATTTGATAAACTCACACATTAAATTATCTTTATTATAATCTTTTATACTTTTACATTTTAAAATGTAGCTTGAATAATGGCACCTGGCTAGCTCAGTTTGTGGAGCATATGACTCTTGATCTTGGGGTTGTGAATTTGAGCCCCCCACTTTGGGTGTAGAGATTGCTTAAAAATAAAATCTTTAGGGGCACCTGGGTGGCTCAGTGGGTTAAAGCCTCTGCTCAGGTTATGATCCCAGGGTCCTGGGATCGAGCCCTGCATTGGGCTCTCTACTTGGCAAGGAGCCTGATTCCCCTTCTCTCTCTCTGCCTCCCTCTCTGCCTACTTGTGATCTCTGTCAAATAAATAAATAAAATATTTTTTTTAAAAATAAGTAAAATCTTTAAAAGGGAATAAAAAAAGAATGTAACTTGAATGAAGTAAAGATTTGCTGTTTAAAGTAAACATTTAAAAAAATAAAAATAAAATAAACATTTTTCTCCATATTGTCATTATTTTATATTCCAGATCCAGGGGTTGAGCTCGAACTCTGTTTTCAATTCATACTTAAAAAAATTTTTTTTATTAACTTTTTTTAAAAGTGATCTCTGTGGGGTGCTTGGGTGGCTCAGTCATTATATGGCTGCCTTTGGCTCAGGTCATGATCCCAAGGTCCTGGGATTGAGTGCTGAATTGGGCTCCCACTCAGCTGGAAGCCTGCTTCTCCCTTTCCCACTCCCCCTGCTTGTGTTCCCTCTCTGGCTGTCTCTCTCTCTCTCTCTCTCTGTGTGTGTCAAATAAATAAAGTTTAAAAAAAAAAAAAGTAATCTCTGTTCCCAACATGCAGCTCGAACTCATGACCTTGCGACTGAGAGTGGATGCTCTACCAACTGAGCCAGCCAGGTGCTCTGTCACTTCATACTTTTTATTTATTTTTTAAAGTATGGTTTATGTGCAATTTGTATTAGTTTGATTAAAATGTTACAAGTTACAGATTTGAAAATGTCACACTACACATGGACTGAACATCTGTAGCTGAAAATCTTGATACTTTCTGTCAGCAGCAGATGAAATGCCTTCACACATTAAACCACAAGTAATTGGAATTTATTAACCAACACTTAATTGTACAATTATTAGCCTTCCCAATAAAGCAATAATTAAATTGGCCATCTTATACCAGGAAAACAAATGAAAAGGCAACAAACTATCCTAACAATTCATATTTTATTTATTACCTACTTTCCATTACTTGTTTCTCATAACAGTTGTCAAGGATGATTGTGGTATTATTGCTCAGACTTTAAGCAAGTTGCTTTGGCATTTTCTGTAAAGAGATTTGCTGCTTTCAATTCACAATTAGCTTGTGACCCAGTGTTTATGAAAGCACTATCCTATGCCATTTAATTTGCATTTAGAGGCAGTGTAAGGCTTTGCTTAGTCTCATTTGAAGGCAATGATGAGTATTTCCAGATCTACATGTAAAATAGGAGGATGCTGCTACTTAGTATAAAACTCATAAAGGATACAAGTTGTTCGGGACACCTAGGTGGCTCGGTAGGTTATGTGTCTGCCTTGGGCTCAGGTCATGACCCAGTCCAGCATCGGCATTGGACTCCTTGCTCAGCGGAAAGTCTGCTTCTCCCTCTGTCTCCTACTCTCCTTGATTGTGCTCTCTCTCTGACAAAATCTTTTAAAAACATACAAGATGCTTAACATGTGTTAAATAAAACTTCATTTTAAGAAATACTGAATTTCTGTAGAAAATGCCAAGTGTTATATTAAGCACTTATTTTTTAAATAAAGATTTATTTATTTATTTATTTAGAGAGCACAAGGGGGAAGAGGGTGAGAGAGAATCTTGAGCAGTCTTCCCATGGAGTGCAGAGCCCATCATAGGGCTCAACCTCACAGCTCCAAGATTGTGACCTGAGCCAAAATCAAGAGTTGGATGCTTACCAACTGAGCCACCCAGGTTCCTGCTAGGCACTTTCATGATGTTTTATCATGGATTGCCATAAAGGTTAAAGACCTTGCCCATGACCATGTGATGGTTCAGTGAAAGAGCCAAAGAACCCAAGTACTATGACATATATTCAAGTGTCTTTTGCACTTACCATGGTTCAAATCATTAAGCATGGAATGAAATTTCCTGATTAATAGTTTGAATTTGTAAAAGTACTAATATAATTTATAATTTCCCTTTAAACTGAGAGGTATTCAACAACTAGTAATTTCTTTTTAAGTGAGTCTTAGTTAATGCCAGTGACCTGAAAACAGTGCCAATGTTTAAAACCCTAATCTAGTTAGCAATTTGGGGGAAGTGTTCTGCATTAATACCTTGTGGCCTAACAGGCTGCACTTTCATCAAAATGACAGCAAACAACAAATACCTTATATATTTAAAATGTGAAAAGTCATGTCAATCTAAAAGATTTACATTATATGGATGAGATAACTAAATGGTTTTTGTTTGTTTGTTTTTTTAAAGATTTTTATTTATTTGACAGAGAGAGATCACAAGTAGGCAGAGAAACAGGCAGAGAGAGGGGGAAGCAGGCTCCCGGCTGAGCAGAGAGCCCGATGTGGGCCTGATCCCTGGACTCTGGGATCATGACCTGAGCCGAAGGCAGAGGCTTAACCCACTCAGCCACCCAGGCGCCCTGTTTGTTTGTTTTATCCAAAATGTGTTTATTGGGATAGTTTCTCATCTTGATTCAGGGCTTTTAGTGCTCCATCCTTCTGTAAGCCTTTCTTTCCTCTTGTAGGCTGCCAAAGGACAGTGGAACAACCAACACACAAAACTACCATTTATGCATGGTTAAAAACCATGGTGATTTTGTAGCATCCTGGGCTCTTTCATGTCCATGAAATAGGAGGTGGGGCTCTGCACCAGGTGCTTCTTCTTGTTCTTCCTCTTCTCTGCTGGGGAGTGAAAGAAGGAGGTCCTTCTCGAGGGTCATGTTCTCATGGGGAGGTCGTCACCACCAGGTAGTCTTTTTTTTTTTTTAGATTTTATTTATTTGACAGAGATCACAAGTAGGCAGAAAGGCAGGCAGAGAGAGAGGAGGAAGCAGGCTCCCCGCTGAGCAGAGAGCCCGATGCAGGGCTCAATCGCAGGACCCCGGGATCACGACTTGAGCCGAAGGCAAGAGACCCCAACCCACCGAGCCACCCAGGTGCCCCACCAGGCAAAAAGAGTGTGTCAACAGGAACTTGAGGCAATTCTGTCCGCAGTGGGCCACAAGAAGAGTGAATCAGCTTCCTCTTGCTTCAGCGGAAGGGTTTGGCATACAGTCATGAACACTTCACTTGTGACCCAGATTCCTTTGGAGGGAGTCCTTTGGAGAACATAGATGTACATATACTGTAGTCAGAGTTCTGGCAACAGCCAAATGCCTCTTAGGTGAGAGCTCGTGTATTTGGTTTTTTCCTTAAAGGCCAGAATTTCTGTGTAATTTGGATTGAGGGCCAGAGAGTCTTATCCTAAATTTCTGTTCCTTTCCTCAGATAAACTTTAGCTCTTCTCAAGTGGCATAAAAATCACTTTTATTACATTTAAAAACATTTACTATGATTTTCGTATGAACAAATCTCCATGCTAGGCAGAGGAAAATGGGAAACAGCTGTAGCTTAGAGCATATACCGTGAGCATTCCCTGTGGGCACTCTGGGACTCAGGTAATATTAAACACACCTAGAAGACTGGTAGGATGTCCCCGCAAAAAGTTTTGACAAATTTGCTGAATAACTTAAGCAAGGCAGATCATCTGAAGGGAAAAAGAAATGAGTTGGATGAGTACTAAAACTACTGTTGGAGTGAAGGAGGGATTCTGAATATGATATACCTCAAATTTGTCCTGGCTCAGACCCCTGAGAGTGTATCTGGTCCCCAGGGAACTAGAGGCAACCCTACTTCAAAAGTATTTCACAAGGAAGAAGGCACCTAAGTTCATGATGACCATTGGAATACAGGATTCAGAGGAAGAATGGGAGATACACAGTGGCTCATTTGTCATGTGGGGTAGCAGTTTAGCTACAATGGGAGAGAATCTGCTACTGAGCATGTGGGAGACATTCCTGGGGAGTCAGGAGCATTTGCAGTATGGCAGATTTTGCTGAAGCTACAGGTCCTGTACTTGCTAGAGGAGCAATGAATCATTAAGATTAATATATTAATGATATCTTGACCTCATTTGTACCTGTGGGCTCTTGGGGCCTGGGATATATAGTTATATAAGGATGAACAAAAGTGTCCCTACTTTGACAGAGGGCCCACTTTAGTGAGGAAACAGACACATTCATATCAATGAAAATAAAATGCAATGTATTCGCCATTGTAAATGAAATACTGCACTGGATGCCTTATTGAACAGCACATAGGAGTATATGGGTCCTATTCTGTAGAAATTGGGATGCCATTACACGTTTTAACTAAGGCAGAGTCATTTAGCTTATCTATGTTTTAGAAATACTTCTGACTGGTCTGGTAGAAGGATTGAATGAGAAGAAGCTAAAATCAAGGAGACTTCGTTCAATCAGGTCAATTGGGCCTAAGTTAGGTGTATTAGAATGACTGGAGAAGAGGGGGTGCATCAGAGATGTTTAAGAGGACTACGTATCTTATTAGATATTGAAGTTATGGAGAGTAAGAGCTTTTAAAATAACTCAAAAATCTTTAGAGGCAGTATTTCCTTTTTAAAAAAATTTTGTAAGAAATTTCTACACCCAACGTGAGGTTTGAACCCAACCAAAAGATCAAGAGTCATGTGCTCCAGCCCCTGAGCCTATGAGGCACCCCTCGAGGCAGTATTATGTACACTAAAAGATACAGGGTCTGGGACTATTCTGCCTAGGTCTGAGTCATGACACTGATGTTCCAGGACTGCCTTGGGCAAATTGTGCATCCCGTCCATCTCTGTTCTTTCATCTGTAAAATGGGGATGATAATAGTACCCACACTTCATACAGTCATTCTGTGTGAATAAATATAATTTAATATAAAAGAAGCCCTTAGGAGAGTGCCTGGTACCCAGGTTTAGTGTACTATCATTATTCTAGCTAGGGTAGGTAACTGGATGAGCATCAGTAAAAGTCACTGAAATGAAAATACAGACTGGCAAACTCAGAGGACAGAGAAAATGGTGAGTTCATTCTTGGACGTACCGAATCTAGAGTTTCTGACTCATGGTAGTCACATACTGTTTGTTGAATATTAATAGAAATGAGCAGGTTTTTCCTTTTAAAAGTGCTTTGATCATATACGAGATACTGTCATAAGCTCTATACATGTATAATCTCAATTCTCACACAGTCCCTGTCAGATAGGTAGTATTATTTCCATTTTAGTTTATTTAGCAGAATAATGAACAGGTTTGCAGCTTAACAATATTAACAAAGGCCTCATTTCCCGAAAGTAAAAGAAGTTCTGATTTACTCTGCTGGTGGTGAGTAAGTAGACTAGTTGAGATTTGAACTCAGACACTCTGATTCCAAAGCTGGTGTACTGAATCACTACGATGGCTTGAACCATTTTGAAACCTTTGACCCCTAGTGTCTCTCTCTCTCTCTCTTTCTCCTTTAAGATTTTATTTATTTATGGGATGCCTGGGTGCCTCAATTGGTTGAGCATCTGCCTTGGGCTCGGGTCATGATTTGGGATTGAGTCCCATATCAGGCTCCCTGCTCAGTGGGGAACTTACTTCTCCCTCTCCCTCTGCCATTCCTTCTGCTTGTACTCTCTCTGTCTATCAAATAAATAAAGTATTTAAAAAAAAAAGATTTTATTTATTCATTTATTTGAAGCAAGGGGTGGGGAGTGGGTAGGAGCAGAGGGAGATGGAGAAAGAGAATCTTAAGCAAACTGTGCTGAGTGTGTAGCCCAGGGGCTCGACCTCACAACCGTGAGATCATGACCTCAGCCAAAATCAAGAGTTGGGTACTCAACTGACCAAGCTACCCAGGTAACCCCCCTTCCCTGAATCTCTTAATACTAGAGTCTATTAAGAAATGGCATCCTATTTTATAAAGTGTTGGATGTTTAATAATAAGAATATCTGTAATTTATTCTATGGCTATTATGGGTCAGGCATTACACATATATTGTCTTCAATTCTTCACAATACCCCATCACTGTGTTATAATAGGTACTTTATTTTATTTTATTTTTTTAAAAAATATTTTATTTATTCATTTGACAGAGAGAGAGAGATCACAAGTAGGCAGAGAGGCAGGGGGAAGCAGGCTCCCTGCTGAGCAGAGAGCCCGACGTGGGGCTCGATCCCAGGACCCTGAGATCATGACCCGAGCCAAAGGCAGTGGCTTAACCCACTGAGCCACCCAGGTGCCCCTATAATAGGTATTTTAAAGCAGTGGAAACTAAGGCTCAGAGATGTCCAAAAACTTGCCAAGAGTTGCATAACTACTGAGAGGAGAGGAGAGATTTGAGCTCAGGTCTATTTATTCCCAAAGTCTGTACTATTATCTTCCAAATTTAGCTACATTACATTTAATATATCATGTCACATTTTGCAAGTGACACCATGAATTCCATGAATTATACAACCATGTTGTCAAGTTCAAAAAACCGTTTTAATTATGGAAGCATAATAACTGGAATAGTATTTTTCAAATTTCAGTTACATAAGAATCATATACAGAGCCTGAGACTTTACCCCCAAATGTATCGAATCAAATGTTCAAAGGTTGAGTCTTAGAAATCAGATCTTTAAAAGGACCTGATATGGTTCTAATGAAGGTTCTCCAAGGACCATGTTTTGAGGAATGTTGCAAGGATGGGGTTGGTTCAGGTACTCTTGGCATCTGAGCTCTCTAGGTGAAATCTTTTTATTTTTTGGAAAAAATTTTTTTTAAAGATTTTATTTATTTCTTTGTCAGGGAGAGAGAGAGCACACACAAGCAAGGGGAACTGTAGGCAGAGGGAGAAGCAGGATCTGCTCTGAGTAAGTAGCCTGATGTGGAACTTGATTCCAGGACCCTGGGATTGTGACCTGAGCCAAAGGTAGATGCTTAACCAACTGAGCCACCCAGGTGTCCCTGGGTAAAATCTTATGGCACTTTTATTGCCAGTACCATAGCTTATTACCTCTAAGTTATTATTTCAGATCTTCTATTGTTAATTTAGCTGATTGCAAGCACTTAGCTAAGAAACTTGAAGCCATGTGTGCTCTGCCTCATGTTCTGTCAATATATTATTTCCCACTCCCTCCGTGCCTTTTTCACGGATGAAACTCCCAGCAAAGCTGTATGGAAGAACTTGCACTTCACAGAAAATTAACTATGATAGCTGTGTAAGAGGAAGAGCATTGCAGCATGGTGAAAACATCAGACCTGGCTTCGAGTCCTACTTCTGCCCCTTTGAGCTTTGGTTCCAGTAATATTGGTTTGGCAGAACCTACTTCACAATGTCGTGAGAGAATGGGGTGCCTGGTGTAGAGTTAAGATCTCAATAATTGGTGGCTATCATCAATGCTTAATACACCCTTGTGTTTAGAGAGGAAGACCGTAGAAGTACTATGCTGTATGCAAAGAGAGGGTTATCATTTCTTCTGAACTGGTTCACTTAGAGGTTGGCAAGATTAAGTGCATGTAAATCTGTAATTGTGAATGGAACTAATCACAATAAAATGCATCGCACGTAAACTAATTACAGTTAGACTAGTTACACAAAGAAAATAATGGTTGGGTAAAGGTCAACTAACTCTGATAGACTTATCTGGGTGGTTGGTGATTGATTTCCCATAATAGGTAAGCAGTTGTCTGGGAGAGTCCTTTTTGCATGTGTTGGAGATTATATGTATTAATTACTTATCCCCCCTTATCACTCTCAAAATTGTCCCAGAAAGGGACATGCCCAAGGTCCCATGGGTAGGTAGGCAGTGACAGAGGTAAAATTAGAACTTTGGTCTATGTTTTATGTATTAACCAGGCCATTAAAAACCAAAAAAGCTATTAGTTAATGGGAAGCAGAGGTGTGTATGACCTGTTTCTTTCTGCTGTCAGCATTTAAAAATTTACCAGGAGTTGCCTTATATAACTCCAGATACTGTGTTTTGAGTTTATGAGGGTTTTAAAAAACGTCAGCGGTAGGAGGAAGAAAACAGAACCAGTACTTCCATAAATCCCCCCCACACCCGTGGGGATTAAGCAATTGCCTGCCAGATTTCATCATTACAATAAATGTAAGCCTGACAATTTACAGGAAGCTTATCGGTCCTTTCCATTCCAGAAACTTGTGATGCTTTTCCTCACTACATGGTACAAACAGCTGAATCAAATTGTCTTTAAGAGTAGCCACCTTTCCCTCAGGCTATATATACTGCACCATCCTGTTCCATGCAAGTTAGCCCATAATAGGGCCTTTGATTGAAAGTCAAGCAGTTGGTGC